ACTTGTATATCATCCAATATGGTTCATATTTCAATACGTTAACTATTTCAAGTAGTGGAATTGCCATGTTTGTTTTATGGATGAAGTTATAACTTGGCGACATGTTGCCATGAGGAAGCTGTTGAAAATAATAATAATAAATTAATAACTATAAATTGAGAAGAAAAACATTCACATACGTTCCTCAATCATCAACTTATATGAATCTAATCATCAAACTATTGAAATACAGTCCGCTGCACTCAAGCATCGAACAATTGGTCCTTCGAGCCGGGTCAAGAACGTTCCTAAATCATCAACTCAATGTCAATCAAATCATCATATATCATTCATCGTACTATCGAAATACAGTCCACTGCACTCAAGCATCGAATGCGAATCGCGAATGGTGGAGATAATTTTGCGGAATCATTGCCAGAGAATTGATATCCTTTAGAAAAATATTTATATTTATGTAAATCGAAATTTCTATAAATGTGACTAGGGTAAATGCACTGGTCAGCCGTCCTGGCTTTTCGAGACAAAATAATAAGTTGCCGTTGAGCTCGGCGTGCTGAGCATGGCACCACAATTCAATCCTAAACGCCAAAGACGGATGAGTGAATAAAGTCGCGAACGGTGGGTATTCGCTTGAACTGCTTGTCACTAACTGTGAGAGCTGCAGTGTTGAGTGCTCTGTATTCTTTGGGGAAAGCGTGGCAGTCTTGAAGGTTTGATTTGTATAGATTCGGCTCGAAGGACCAATATGATCGATGCTTGATAGATAGTGAACTGTATTTGTATGGTTATATGATATATGCTGAAGGTTGATATTGAAATTGTAATTCGTATTGTAATTCTTCTTTATGGTTTATAGTTTTTTTATAAATCTTATATTTCAAGAACACGCCATGTGTAAATGAATGAAATCGCGAATGGTGATAGAGATATATTTTATATATCTCATAAATGGAAATGCGGAAATTGCAAAAATAAAAAGCATGATGATAACTCAAAGTTGGATCAATTGATAGTTTCTATATCATCTCTACAAGGTGATCTAAAAGATATGAAGCAGAAGCAGGATCAGGTGTTTGATTCTCTAAACTTCTATGGCGGAAAAATAGACGATTTTGGAGCAAGGCTAGATAATTTTCAAAAAACCATCCACTCACTGGAAGGTACGAAAAATGATGTGGAAGCACTGAAAAAGGAATGCGGAATGCTACGTGCTGAAATAGAATCTATTCACCAGATGAACCGCGCGGAAAACATAGAAGTATTTGGAATCCCGGAAAAAAGAAATGAAAATCTTCTCCAAGTTATCAAAAAAATTGCTGATGAGATTAAGTATCCATTGCAAGATGCAGATATTATTGACTGTCACCGAATACAGTCACACCCTAACAACAAAGAGAAACAGACTCCAAAGAATATAATTGTGAAGTTCGCAAATCGTTCACGAAAAAGTTATTTCATGAATGCCCTGAAAGTCCATAAAACCAGGCTATCCTCAGGATCCTTGGGTTTCTCTGAAAACAATGACGTCTACGTCAATGATCACCTATCTCATTATTACAAGTTGTTGTTCAAACTCTCCCGGCAATTCAAGAAAGCCCATAATTACCGGTACTGCTGGACCAAAGATGGAAAAGTTTTCCTGAAGAAATCTGAAGGCTCTCGAGCAATCCTTGTAACAAATGAAGATACCCTTAGAAGACTTCAATCCGCTTCCTAAAAATTCGCAATATTTTTTTTTTGTATCACAGAAGTAACGGTATCAAATAACATTCAGTGATCTAAATATATTTTATCAAAATACCAGAGGACTAAAAACTAAAACTAATCAGTTCTTGAGAGCTGCTACATCTCCCGAATTCCAAATTATTTGTATAACCGAAACGTGGCTTGATGAGGACATCCTGAACTCAGAGCTGTTTCCACCATCATACCAAGTGTTTCGCAAGGATAGTAATTTGGTGTCTAGTGGAAAATGTCACGGAGGAGGGGTTATGATAGCCGTTCATAATAATTTAATGTGCAATAGTGTTTCACAGTGGAGTAGCAATGGCAGGATTGAAGAGATATGGATATCAGTGGCGCTGGATGGGGGTAAGAAGTTATATTTATGTTGCGTTTACGTCCCCCCGACTGTAAATGCAGATGATTTGAAGTTGCACTTAGAGCAAGTAGAAAATATCATTAATAATAATCCTCAGCATCTGTTTGCTATAATTGGAGACTACAATCTCCCAAAATTGAGCTGGGAAAAAGATAACAACTATAAACTCTTTGGTCTAAATCCATCAGGCGCCACTGACAAGAAAAGTGAACACTTCATCAACTTTCTCTCTTCGGCAGATTTGAAGCAGTTTAATGATGTAAAAAATTGCAATGGAAGAATTTTAGATATTGTATTGTCGTCGAGTGACACGAATATAAAAATCTGCCCCGCGATGCTTCCATTCGTCAGTGAAGATCCTCATCACAAGGCACTTGAGATAACTCTAAAATATGTTGAGCAAAAAAAAATCCCTAGGAATTCTCGTATTAAGTTTTTGTATGAACACTCAGATTTCACTCAAATCAATAACTTTCTCACCAGCGTTGACTGGGATAATACTTTCAATGACAAAGATATTGATGACTGTGTCAATATCTTCTATAATATCTTACAGCAGGCAATTGATGAATTCGTACCAAAAAAAGCACTCAATAATAAAAAATACCCTCCTTGGTTTTCAAAAGAAACACTGCTTGTTATTAAACAAGAGGCAATACACCATAAAAGATGGAAAACTCTAAGAAACCCTGCTGACTATGACCGATTCTCTTACCTCCGTAGAACATTAAAAAAAAATATTGACGACGACTTCAAAAAATATGTTGAAAAATGTGAAAATAAAATAAAAAATGATCCTAAATACTTCTGGTCATATCTATCGAAAAAAAATAATATGCACTCCATTCCTATGCAAATGAATTTTTGTAATAAATCCTATGAGGGGACAGAATCGATCTGTGAAATGTTCTCGAATTATTTCAGTGGAGTTTTCGAAAGTAATCAAACCCCATGCTTGATTGCCAAAGAATCAACTCAACATGCTTTCAATATCAGCACTATAACGGAAAAACAGATAATGGAAACTTTGAACGAGCTTGATTGTAAAAAAGGGCCTGGTCCTGATAACCTGCCTCCACATTTCATTAAGACATTGAGCAATAGTTTGTTGAAACCCCTTCATTTACTGTACAATAAATCACTTCGCTCAGGCTTATTCCCATTAAAGTGGAAAATAGCGAAAGTTATACCCATTTTCAAGTCTGGAGATAAAACAAACGCAGGGAACTATAGGCCTATATCAATATTGAACATTTTCGGAAAAATATTTGAATCAATCTTAACAAAAGAAATATTTTTTATGGTTAAAAACGTCATTACAATTCATCAACACGGTTTTCACAAGAAGAGAGGCGTTATTACCAACTTAGCACCTTTTGTTCAAAACGTATTTGATATTATGGAAAGTGGACACTCAGCATGTGCCGTGTACACCGATTTCTCGAAAGCATTCGATAAAGTGCATCATCCTACTATGATAACCAAACTGGAGAATTTCGGTGTGTACGGTAACCTCCTGAGTCTCCTGACCTCCTATATACAAGACAGGCGCCAGTACGTTGCCATCAACAACTTCAACTCTAATAAAACTCTCATCACTTCTGGGGTTCCCCAGGGCTCCCATTTAGGCCCCATTCTATTCAGTGTCTTCGTCAGCGATGTGGAAAAATTCATCAAATATTCGAAAGTAGCAATTTATGCAGACGATCTAAAGCTCTATATGCCAATCGAAACATCATTAAATTACGCTGAATTTCAAGAAGACCTAAATACTCTTTATGATTACTGTAAGTTCAATAGATTATTCATTAACATCAAGAAATGTCACCAGATTGTTTTTTCAAGAACCAACAATTGTCTATCGAATGACCTTTTTATAAATAACGAAAAAATACCACCGTGTGATGAGGTGCGCGACCTTGGAATCATCCTGGACAAAAAGTTGACATTTGACACATATTTGGAGATAACTGTAAGGAAATCCCTTCGCATGTTAGGATTCGTTTTAAGAAATACGAAGGACTTTCGTAATCATGGATCCCTAATAACTGTCTATAAAACATTAGTGAGGCCGATATTGGAATACTGTACATGTATATGGAACCCATTTTATGAGAAATACGTGGCAAGAATTGAAAATGTACAAAAAAAATTGGTAAATGCTCTTAACTTCAGATTTTTCCAATATCGTCATCATTTTACATATGAATCTAATTTGAACTTTTATAAAATAGAATCAATGTTCATCAGAAGGGAGTTCTTCGATATTCTGTTTACATATAAAATATTGAATAATTTTATTGATTCACCAAATTGCACTGAATATTTAGTTTTGAACTGTAACCCAAGACTTGTGCGAAATCGCCTCACCTTCTACCCACCCTCTTATTTAACTAACTATTATGGCAACTCTCCAATGATCCGATGCATGAATGCTTACAACACAATTTGTCACTCGAATATTGATTTGTTCTATTCGAATATGATTAGCTTTAAGAAGAAACTGCGGCTATTCTTGCTTGATTTTTATGCTCCCACATCAGTTGATAATTAAAATAGTTTGTATTATTATTATTTCTACTATTATATTATTACTATTTCTTACTGCACCTATAAAAATTGCACCTTAGTATGTAAGTAAAAACTCTCAACATATTGTCATAGCTATTGATATTTTGTTATAATGTTTACATGTTACTATGTATCTTCCTATTAAAGGATGAACCACTAAGGTTCATCTGTTTGGATGATCCACAAATAAATAAATAAATAAATAAATAAATAAATAAATCAAGATTTCTATGAATGTGTGTAGGGTAAATGCACTGGTTCTTGAGCAACCTGGGTTTTGAGACAAAATGATAAGAACAGGAATTATGGAATCATTATTTTGTTTTACCTAAGATGGCGCCGACGATCACCTCGGCGATCTCGACGTTCTTCGTGTCCTTGTTGCCGTTGAGCTCTGCGGGGGTGGGGCTCTTGCTGAGCATGGCCACCTGTTGCTGGCCGGCGGTGGTGCCCAAGCCGAAGCTGTTGTTGTTGAGCGAGATGGGCGCCGTCGCGGCGGACACCTGGTGCCTGAACGGATCGAAAGCGGATTCGTAGCGATCGAGGGCGGAGCGGGGGGCGGCCGAATTCGCACCTGGAACGACAACGACGATGTTAACGGTTTGATTTGGTCGAAAAGATGAATATTCTCTTTGTTCTTGAGTGGCATAATAATAATATGATGGTAATTATATACCCGGCGACCTACCAAGAGGTAGGTAATATGCTATGCGGGTTCTGTGTCATTTCAACCCTTCACTGCATAGTGTACTACTTTTTCCTTTATACAGGGTGTTTCATAGGTAAAGGGAAATATTTCAATGGTAGATAGAGGTCACCAAGGTGGTTCTGAAAATACAATATTTGATACGTCTTAGAGTCTTCATAACGGAGATACAGGGCGATTTATCGATTTCGAATAATTATTCATTCGTCTATATGTATTGACCTACCCAGTATATTTTTCTCAAATTTGGTAAGGAGCTCGTATTTGGGGCGTTAAATTCATTCACCTATCGGGCGGAGTGAAAATCAAGGTTCGGCTTCAGGAAAAATTTACATTTATTCGAAATATTAAAATAACACACTGTATTCAATAATTAACACAGTACATCAAAAGAATTGTGAAGAGGAGGAAAAACTAAATTGTGTATGATGATTTTGGTTTCCCGCCACCAATTCTCATCGTTACAAGCATAAACAGAAAGTTGAAAGTATTTCAATTTGAAGAGTATTGGAATTATGAAACCAGTGTCAATTATGATTATTTGATATTTCAGTCAAAAAATCTCTCGAAAGAACTCACTGAGTCTCACAGTCTCCATAAGTCTTAAACTACCCAGTAACATTTTCTTAAATTTGGTAGGTATGTAGCTCACTTGGGACGATGGATTCATTAAGCTATCCGGCGGAATGGAAATAATACCAAATAATTATAATTCGATGGTTCACCCTGTATCTCTGTTATGAAGACTATCAGACTTTTCCTGAAGCTGAACCTGTATTTTCATTCTGCCTGATAGGTCAATGAATCCATCGTCCCAAGTAAGCTCAATACCAAATTTGAGAAAATATTACTGCGATGGGTAGTCTAATACTTATATGGACGAGTGAATAATAATTATTCGAAACCGATAATTTACCCTGTATCTCTGTTATAAAGACTGTGAGACTGAGTAAGTTCTTTCGAACGATCATTCAACAAGAATATATCAAATAATCATAATTGAAAGTGGTTTCATAATTTCAATACTCTTCAAATTGACATACTTTTAGCTTCCTGTTTATGATTGTTACGATGAGAATTGGTGGCGGGAAAACAAAAATCATCAAATCCAGTTCAGTTTTTTCTCCTCTTCACGATTCTTTTGATGAACTCTGTCAATTATTACATACAGTGTGTTATTTTGATATTTCGAATGAATGTAAATTTTTCCTGAAGCCAAACCTGGATTTTCACTTCACCCGATAGGTGAATGAATTCCATGTCCCAAGTATAAGCTCCATACCAAATTTGAGAAAAATATACTGGGTAGTTCAATACTTATAGACGAATGAATAATTATTTGAAATCGATAAATCGCCCTGTATCTCCGTTATGAAGACTCTAAGACCTATCAAATATGGTATTTTCAGAACCACCTTGGTGACCCCTATCTACCATTGAAATATTTCCCTTTACCTATGAAACACCCTGTATAATAAATAACTATTGTTCAGTAGTGCACTTATACCCATACCATCCCAACCTACCCCTACTGGTACTGGTACTGGTGGGGGACGTTTCCACGTCAGCAACTAGTCCCCAATGGGACCTTTTTGCAAACCCCAAGTGTTTTCAATGACTGATGTGGTTCGCTCAAGAGAGCTGGCTAACATCCTTTTCAGGCACCGCCCATCAGCTCTCTTTTCAGAGTTTTTCAGCTGTGTTTTGTAGGCTAGTAATGTACTCACTACCATATGCGCAGTGGCAGGCCTGCTAACTATCATCGTTAACCCCCTAGACCGAGGTCTACTTAAGCAGCTGGCCCGCTCTCACGCTCAGCTGGTAGTTTTCCACACCCACCTACATACACCGTCCTACTTCTTCTCTGATGCTCACAACCACATCATCATATCTTCCTGCGTGTTCTCTGTAGGCTTTGTTGCTAACTCCATGCGCCACTTTAGGAGCAGCACTGTTAATTGGAACGCAACGGCGAATCGTGCAGGACTATCCCCAGCCGATGCTCCGAAACTTTACAATATTTAATTCGTAAATAAAATATTGAAAAAAGTTCCTTGCCCATGCTGGAAATCGAACCCACGACCTTGCGGTCGTGAGACGGACGCTCTTCCACTGCGCCAATCCCGGCTCCCAACCTCCCCCTATATTCTCAACAGATTTTTTTATTTTGAGTGAAGTGGATTATTTATTGTCCACCAAAGTGCGCCACTAAATTTTGAGATCTTCCTCTCTCAATGGCCACTTGTCATGTAACATACAGCCAAAATAATCTTGAGGTCATGGTTGGTAGAACTTATAAATGTACTTCTTATTTTCGTGTTATTTGGCCTCTTGCCTCTCCGTCAATGTAAGAGTTGGTCGTAAAGTTCCCCATTTAGAGTAAAAAACGTGAATCAACTTTGAACATGGTATTCACTACTGAAATCTGAACATGAAAATGGTAAATTCAAGATTAATTAATGGAAACATCCTGTAAAGGTGAGTTCCCAATGCATCGTTTTTGCTTTTCGCGTCACGCACTCTGATTTGATTTCCAACGTCACCAATTGTCACTGAGAACTGAAAAGTATCAAGACAGATACGACTTTGCTATTCAAATAACCATTTTTTATGTTGAAAACTGGAGCAGATTCGGTCCCAAAACGTCCAAAGATAAGTGAAAATTTGATATTTTTTCTATATACCTTTTTATTTCTCTTCTCCAAACTTTTTTCAATACAAATTGTCACTGACAAGCTGGTGAATTTTTCTTTCAGGCTCTCTGATAGGAAAATTCTTCAAATGCAGTGACATTTTGTGGGAAATCATCTGATTTGTCCTTACTACACGGATATTGCAATAATATTCATTCACTGTATTTCGTAATTCGTACACTTACCTAAACAGTCTCCTAAACTGACTTGCCCGATGGCTCCGAACACGCCGGTACTGGTATTCGTCGTACCCGTTTGATCCATCACGCTAAGGTAATTGGAAACGGGCAGTGCACTGGGATGCGCCCCACTGATACCTGGGAAAAAACAATCTGATGTGAGTTTCCAACCGATCTCCGATGCCCTCTCGATAACATCATTTTTGATTTGTTGAAAATATTTTCAAAAATTCTCATCATAATTTTTTTCCGAAATGTATTGACCAATAGATCTTCTCCTTAGGGGTATCATACTAGTTTATAATATATCTCTTATAATTTCCTGTTAAGACTTTCTTGGTAATATTTCAATGGAAATTACGTCAATTGCAAACATTTACTAATGACACAAATTTTTTTGCATAGCTTGAAGCCATAACTTGAATGAAATCATAAGCATGCAAAAAAATACATACAGTGTGACCCACTTCTAATAGAAACACCCCTGTATCTTACGTAATCGTTGGGTGAGGATCCTGAAATTTGCTGGAGCGAGGGATATACCAAAAATGCGCTCTGTGACCAAGGGGTGTCATCTTCAGTGATATACACTGCTCGCCAACAGCCATGGAACCACGCCAATTTCCGGAAAATGATATTAGGAGTCAATATAGGTTGAGAATCACTTCGCACTCGAAATCAGGACCCCCAATTCACTAACTATTCATAGCTTTGCTAGAAAATTATCAGCAGAAAAATTAATTTCCGTTTCACTTCTCATGGAATGACGGATAGAACAATTTTAGAACAATTTAGATACGGGGGTGCTTCCGTAAAAAGTGCTACAAAATTTAATTTTTCAGAACTGAAAATTTTCCAGGAAAAACATGAATAGCTAGTGAATTGGTCGTCCTGATTCCGAATCTGAAGTGATTTTCGACCTATTTTGACTCCTTATATCATTTTCACTGAAAATCATGCGAATACTTGTTCATCAATGCCTATGTGTACGTTTTTGCAGGTATGATAATTGGTCATCAACCAATCAATCGTTTACTGGCATTGAAACAAGTCTTACATCATACTTAGAAGTAGAATGACTTCACCATTGAAAAGAAATGTTGGTCTAAAATATCACAAAATTTGCCAGACAGAATTTTTGACTTTTCCCCAGACATCTTGAAAAACTATGCCCTGATGCATGACAACGCCCAATGAAACCTAGTTAGGGGTGTATGAACTAGTATGTTTCGGATATCTACCGCCCACTTGAGTTTTTCCTAAAAAGAATGATTAACCTGTTTCAATTTTGACAATTTTTGATTCGGTAGTTGATGATAAAGGGGAAAACGACATGAAAATGAAACAAATGAGGAGATGATGAGCTAATTTAATGCGTAAGTACTACACAGTACAGTCGGTAGACAATGGAAAAAATAATGATGGAATCCTAAAAAAAAAATATGGAAAAATGAAATTCAAGATCCAAAATTGTAATGAACAAATCAAAAGTGGCATGAAAGAGCAACAGAAACAACAAAAAATACGTTGAAACAATGAAAAATGATACTTGGAACAAAATTCATCAGCTTCAGTCCCATAATCTCGTTTTTTTTAAACGAAAATGATTATCCGAATGGATTGACATTTCTCTTCAACAATGTATCATTTTGCATTCGTACATTTATATCAGATGGTTTATTACCCAAGCCTACTGAGATGATTCCGTATTTGGCCAAGACCGTCAGTGCCGTGCAAATTTCGACTATTTGCGAATCTCCGAATCCAGAACTTCTCAGTTGAACCTGTAACGAAAGGAAAGGTTAAACAACCATTATAATTGTGACATTGAAACTGCAAATCATTGTGAAAAATCCAAATCGGAGCGAGATCCCACGAAACCACACCCTAACTGAAAACGTCCATTAAAATGCCACTCCCACTACTGTACCACGCCGACCCACCTGACAAGACACGCCTATATCGACTACTAGTCTCTTATTCTGAAAGTATGTAGATCGGAAATCGTGTGTGTATTTTATTCAATTAAGATATTTTGTAGTTTGCATCTATGACAAAACTACTAACTAGACCGCTAGTGGTCATATCCCAGCAACCCAAAAATCTTATCCGAATTGATCGCCTGAAAACGCTTCTGATCAACGCGCAGAAACCTCCAAACTGTCGTTCATCACATCGAGTAATGTTTCTGGATGGTCGGAAACAGAAGTGTGAATAAGATATATGACAGGTATCAGTGATTTGCACCCTTCAATGTCAACTAGTGTTCGAGAACACATTTCGATAAAAGGTGTTCTTCAAACGCTGCTGAAACTTTCATTTGTCAAAAACTTTTCGTCGTCATGAAAATGTTTCCAAAACATTGAGTTGTCATGAAATCAGTCTTCGTTCATCTATTTAGTTTGAAAATAGAACATTTCCACACCCACCGACTTTGAATGAATTCTCACTCGCCTATATCGACATAATAGCTATTTATATGTCAAGGGGGGAAATGTATCAATTTTCTCCCGGGTGTGCAGTTTGATCCCCGACGCGTAGCACAAACGAATTAAGACAGCGCCCACTCACATGGAAACGCTCCACCCACTCAACTCGCAATTTATTTCGATCTATTTCTTGAAGTGCCCGCCTACTCAGAGAACAAAGACACTTAATGAAATCGTCGAAAGATTTTTTCTCAATAATACTACTTCAGATACCTGAAGAATCTGTACCGTGTTAACGAAACATATTGTATTCTTTAGAAATTCGTTGAAGCCCGTCCAAAATATCATTCTCCAATCCGAATCCAATCGCAAAAATCATCACCCAATCACTCTTATGACTTCTATCAAGCCACTCTCACTTTCCGAATCTTCTACAAGACCCCTCAAGACGATACCGATATCTCACTACGCTTACTCACTTTGAATCGCGACTAGTCAACTCAATACGATTTAAATCCCCACCTACTACTAACCTTGCAACGAATTACAACCACCCCCTGTTGCCTTGAAATGAAGATCCACCCCACCCACTCCTTGAAACAAATGAAGACTCCGCCTACTCATCTCGAAACGTACCTAGCCCCTCCCATTCATCTCGAAACGTACCTAGACCCTCCCACTCATCTCGCAACTCATTTCGACCTTACTCTTAACAAGCTTTCAGTCCTCGCCTACCTCACCACCCACTCATTTTTATGTAGATCAATAGCTACGCCGTCAAATTCGAAATGTGATGCCGATACCCCTTTGCCTACTCACTCTGAAATCAATCTTAACCACGTCTACTCAACTTGATACGTTTTCTATCCCCTACTAACGGAATACGACCCGTCTTATATTCCGGCACATTTCACATGAGTCCAATTCAACCAGAAACCAATCTCGGTCAAGCCCACTCGTCTAGAGACTAGCTTCCACCACGCCCCCTTGCCTTGAAACCAACCAAGTCCCCGCCCACTCAGCCTGAAACGAATCAAAACCACGCCCACTCACCTCGAAACGGGCCTCTTGACCATTCCCACTCAACTCGAGACCAGTTTAGACTTCACCTTCTTGCCTTGAAACGAATCAAGACCCACCCACTCACCTCGAAAGGTATTTAGACCCACCCACTCACCTTCACCTTCTTGCCTTGAAACAGAAAAGACTCCACCCACTCACCTCGAAAGGGATTTAGACCCCGCCCACTCACCTTGATGTGATCCAACAGCTGCGCCGTCAGATTAGAGATGTTCTGGCCGGGCGCCGTCAGATTGAGGCTTAGGCTGATGCCGCCGCCGCTGAGTACGAGGCCCTGCGAGACGGTGGCGCCGAGCCCAGCGGCGGCGGCGGCGTTCAGGGTGGCGGTGGACGCGCCGAACGCGCCCGCTGCCGTCTGCTGATTGGCGAACGGCGAGCCGGTCGGGTTGAAGTTGGCCACGGGGCCGTTCACGTCGGCGTAGGAGACGTTGAGACAGGCGCCGGACTGGGGGTCCTCCACCACTTTGCCTGAATCGGAATGGAAGGCGAATGAGAGTGATCCAGGAACAGGAAACATATGTGAGTTGACCAGCATTTCATGAAGTCGACAACAACAAGCTTCGACCATTCACGATCTCGTTTCGCTCATATGGGCTGCTCGTAGTAGATAGATAGATAGATAATTTATTCATTTCTACAGAGTTGTCTTACGCGTCTGAGAAGTAAGTCACATACATACAATTTGAAATCTAGTATAAATATTTCATAAAAAAAATAAGCATAGAAATAAAACATTACCACAGATTAAAAATAATCACTGACTGAGTATGGTTCCATACTGAGTAAGTAATTCCGTACCGACCCAAGGAATCTTTTGCAATTTTGCATATCTTCCATCTCATCCGGAATATTGATATAAAAGTGTATTGCATTGTACAGTGGACTTGTTTCGAAAATACACTTTTTGTGGATTGGGTAACTATAGTTGTTTTTTAGTCTCGTGTTATGTTCATGATTCATTTTGCTAAAGTGATATTCATGTGTGGTCTGGAATTTAATAGCCTCATAAATAAACAAGGCTGGTACAGTTAACATATTGTTTTTTTTTTTTTAATATTCCCCGGCATGAGCCATCTATCTTCAGTGAACGCAGAAACACGCCAACATTGTGAAGGAAAAAATATAGTAGAGTCTATGCAAAGACAGTTGGAACAACACATCAAGCGCGGGCCGTCGGTCCCTTTGAAATTTTCAAGAGAGTTTTCTATTCTGTGTATATTAGTGACGTTTATCCCCCAAATGTACTTAGTTGATTTGCTTTTTCAATAAATATTAATTTTTCTAATTTTGACTTGTGATTTCGTCTTACTTCACGTAACTAGTTGCCCCACAAAACGTACATATTAGTTTTTTTTCTTCAGTGAAGTCGAGTGATTGCAGCTATATAATTTAAAAATTCCCGCTTGATTCAACTGAGAAATGCAGAAATGCGCAGTATAGTTCTTGGCCTCTGAGAGATGCAGATATATTGCCCCCTTCGTTTAATGTGGGTGATTAGCAGTTCATTTGAGCGAAGTGAGATCCTGAATGGTCTGAGAAAACAGGATACTGAAATAAGGCATAACAGAATGGTTATCGGTACTGGCGCCCAACGGGGCTATTTGGCTATTGAATGGCATACCACAGGAACTTCTAAAGGACATACAAATTACTCAAAACCAGTAATTCTCTGATTCATATTGTTCAAAATATGTTGATAAAATGAGAAAGTGGAACGTGTTTTTTGTGCCAAAAATCAATTGTAGTAATGTTCAGGATGGGCAAATAGAGCAATGTTTTTCTCTATGGTTTAACAAGAAAACATTCTTCTATGGAGATTTCATGAAGAATAAGGTAAACATTTGATGTATCTCACCTATGATCATCAAGCAAGCTTGCCTGTTTTGTTCTCTATCTCCTATCACAGTGATGCATCTCTCTTGCAAACTGACGTCTTTGGCTTTTTGCGAAATCTGGACGTACGATCCGCTCGCTTCTTTGATCTGCTTGATATAATTTCCCGCTTTGCCTTTTAGAAAGAAAAAATCGTCAAAAATAATGGCAAAGAAACGAATACACAGTTTCAATAAAGTCACTTCCCTAAGTGGTTTTGAACGTAGACAAGAGTGTAAAAGACACGCTCGTAGTCACTGGACACCCTTTATTTTATACATACCTATGATCATGCCTGCCGTCGAGTTGGGCACCAATATTTTCACTTGTCGTTCGCGTTCGTGCATCTTCCCGTCAGCCGTGCCGTCCGATATCGTCTTGGTCAGATCCGGTTTCTCCCGAATCTTCTCCATTATGAACTCGATCACGTTGATAATGGCCTCGACGCTGCCCGTTATCAGGCAGACGCGTTCCGTCGTACCTTCGAAAAAACGAACAATCATGAATATGGTGCTAGGTGCTAATCAGATTTTGCATAACTGTTTCATTTTATGAGATACAGGGCGATTTTTGAAATTTATACTTTTTGGACCCCCTCTATATCTACGCAGAATCCAGTGGCGTACTAAGAAAATTTTTTCGGGGTATGGTTTTGGAGATACGGCAAGCTTATGATTTTTCAAATGGAACACCATGTATTTTATAAGCTCATTAAATTCATAATTTTTTCATATCAAAATGAAATATAATGTATAAATATAAAATTGAGAATTGAATGAGCTTATAAAATACAAGGTGTTCCATTTCAAAAATCATAAGCTTGTCGTATCTCCAAAACCATACCCCGAAAACAAATTTTTCAGTACGCCACTGTATTCTGCGTAAAATTCTCTATGGGATGAGATTTTAGTTTGATATTTTCGCTGGAGATGTACGGAGGAATATGGCTTCATGCATTCATTTAAAAAAACTCTTCAAAGCCACCATCCTTCGCGTGCCAAGCTATTCGACAAAGGTTCACAGTCATTTTGCAATATTCCTCAGGATGTACCGCACATTATAACAGAGTGGGCCTTTGAAAACGAAACAGAGGCTCTGTAGGTCGCCAAAACCGGATTATCAAAAAAAACTGAAACAGGTCAACTACATTTTCGAGGGGGACATCTTTCTAAAATATTTTCAGCCCTGCGGCGTTGCCGCTTCTAAAGAAAAGAAGCAACAACTTTGTTATTTCAAATGGAACACCTTGTATTTTATTGCATTTTTAGATTCTCCCCGAAGAGCTGATTTCATCAATGCATCACACTTAGGGTCTAGCTGTAATGGTTTCAGGGATATAAAGTGTTCAAAATCGAGATTTTTCAACTTTAACATTTTTTTGTGTCGAAACTATTCATTATTGGTCAAAACGGCTCTCATGTCCCGATCTCAACTTGTGATTTACTATCTACTGACATTTATTTGAAACAAATACAGGGTGGTTCAAGATTCAGAATTCTGATCACCCTGTATCTGTTCCAATTAAATATCAGTAGATAGTAAATCACAAGTTGAGATAGGGACATGAGAGCCGTTTCGACCAATAATGAATAGTTTCGACACAAAAAAATGTCAAAGTTGAAAAATCTCGATTTTGAACACTTTATATCCCTGAAACCATTACAGCTGGACCCCAAGTGTGATGCATTGATGAAATCAGCTCTTCGGGGAGAATCTAAAAATACAATAAAATACATGGTGTTCCATTTGAAATAACAAAGTTGTTGCTTCTTTTCTCTAGAAGCGGCAACGCCGCAGGGCTGAAATTATTTTAGAACCATGTCCCCCTCGAAAATATAGTTGACGTGTTTCAGATTTTTTTTATAATCCGGTTTTGGCGACCTACAGAGCCTCTGTTTCGTTTTCAAAGGCCCACTCTGTATAGTGTCAACAAAAAATCCAATTGCAGATATTTTCAATTAGGCCCAGATTCCGAGTCACTCACATTTTCATTCGCCCACATTTCGATTCACCCACCTTTTATCAGGCCCACATTTTGATTCAGACACAGTCTCCGAACAAACACGAACAATGCCTTGTTGCCAAATCTGATTGATGTTGAGAAACATCTAGGAAAAAGGATTTAGGCCGAGTTAGGTTAGATTGTTTAGAAGAAGTAGTCTCCTTCCTTATGCAGCCTATAGTGACAATTATCACATCAAAGCACATTTGGCAACAGTGCGTCCTTCGGGTATCTCCGGAGGCAACGAGTTTATTGAAATGTGGCAGAATACAGATTTGGTATAGCGTTCAAAATTTTTTTGCGTTTTATTACGTACAGTGAATCCTTGTGATTAGGTTACTGCTCAATAATGTTCATTACACAATAGTAGATGGTTTTATTAGAATCAAAAGTGGCACTTTCTTTGACAAGCGAATTTTGCATTTGCGAGGATGAGAGTCTAGAGTGTTGCAAAAAAAAATTGCTTAAGGTGGGCATATTGTATTCACCCAGATTGAATGCTGTAACTATTCATGTTATCGCACATAGAATACACATAGAATGAGCCGAATTTTGGAGAAAGCATCATGAAAGTGGGTACTGATGGCAAAATTGATAATTCAATAACTTCATTCGTTGAGGAATCCTGAAATCACAGATGAAATAATGTGCTTGCCATGATATCAGCCGTTTCTAATGAAAGTAACGATTTGTTTTTGTTGCTTTCATATTATGTTTATCTTATCAATCACTAAAATGTGTAGAAATAAGATACCCGCTCCATCCAATAATGATATTGATGAAAATATTTGCTGATCAATTTGTCATGTTTAATATATCTAAACAAATGGGTGGATAAAACAGAAACCAAATGAAAACAAACCACGTGAATAGAGATTTCCCACGAAATTAAATTCAAATTGTCCTTTTATTGGCAAACAGAATCAAGACTCCTTCATCCATAGAACGGCTAGGCTCTGGAATTCATTGCCTGTGGAAGTATTCCCAACAACATATAATCTCCAAAAGTTCAAGAAAAATTCCAATACCTACGTCCTGACCCTATCCTCCCTAGGAACGCACGATGTTCTTTGAACATTATAGGGATTCCCTTTCGTGCGCTCCAAGCGATAAAAAAAAAAGTATAGTACCGGCAAGTACCGTTTACCTTATTTCTCAACAAAATAGCAAAGTAACTTCTAATTATAGCCAATAAATCTAACGAATTTGTTAGAAACCTTTGAACCGTTTGGAAAACTGAGTAATTACAACGTTTATAAATAAATACAGGGTCGTTTTTTTCTGAAATCAGGTGGATTACCTAATGATTGGAATAAATAGAAAATGTCTTTGTGCTTGCACGAAATTCAAACATACCCGTGATTTATAATTTATCAATGCTCACGTTTTGTCATGCAAACATTTTGCATTAGCATTATTAGCATTACATTAGGTATACAATATACAACATTGTTTTCAAAAATGTACCATACATTGAATATTTTCATAGATACCTACAACAATTGAATGTTTGGAGAAAATAACTTGATATGCATGGCAAAATAATACGTGTTTCAGGAGTTTCTATAGATGCTAATGATATTATATTCTCGCTAAAGAATGCCTGATATCACTGATTTTTTATATTCACTCTTCAAAAGTGTACAGGGTGGCCCACATTTCGTTCTCCAACCTCCAACTATTTCTATCTCTGAAACGGTTAGAGATAGAATGTTTGTAAAATAGAACAAAAGTTGCACATTTTGCGGGGCATAAGGATGATGTGAAAAAATCAAAGATATCATGAACTCTTCCCGAGGGAATTGAGAAAAAACAACTCAGCCAACACATCTGTGACATGACATCTCTGAAATGTCGTGTTTATAGGTAACAGTGCGATATCACAAACGTTTCATCGTTGCGATATTCATAAGCAAACACATTTGCGACATATCTCTTGAGAGATTGCGATGAGCAACACTGCGATTATCACGATTGTTCCATCGCTGCGATGAACATAGGCGAACTCATGCGATAATTTTCCAAAAATGTATTATTTAGATTCATGGTCGGTGAAAAAGAATACATGAATATAAGTTACTCAACAAAGCGAAGCTAAATTTGCAAATATTCTTTACATTGCTATCAAACTATTCTTGGTCTGCTTACATCTCGCAGACGCACACTACAACATTTTTGATACATATACGAGTAACAGATCTCATTCTGATGGAGATTCGTATAGGTTCAAAGGATAGCGCCGATGAAGAGACGATTGGATGGACAGGAGACCCGGGGGACCAATAACCAGTCACAACAACACATAATCAATATCAGATGTCATCAGAAGTCATGTTGTGATAACAGGTACATACACCACTGGAGGAAACTTTTGATTCATTTTAAAACACCGCTTTTTCATCACAAATAACATGTAGCAAAACATTGCATAAAATATATTGCTGTTATATCGCAGAGAACTTATCGCAGCAACGTTGCATGGATGAAACTTGAGTGGGACAAAATAACATCCCTCTGACATCGCAGCTACGTCTATGCGACATACGAGTGCGATATAGCAGTAATTGTTACATCGCTGCGTTATCTCTGTGATGTAACTGTGTTTGCTGGGGTATGTATATAACAGAGTATATAACCGTGGTCAACATTGAATGGGAGGATGTTTTTGCTTACCTGGGTAGAAGTCATGTGACTTGGACATCTTGACGCGGGCTCCTGTCTCCTTTTGCAGTTGGGCGATAGTCTCGCCGCCTTTGCCGATGATGGCGCCAGCGGCGACACTGGGTACCAACAATTTGAAATGGAAAGTTCCATCTCCGCCTGAAACAAGAACACACAAAATTATCTTCAATAATGTTTCAGTGACAAATTGTCACGTCTTGAATCACAAACTACAACTCGGGCATCGTGAGAATTGGGCATATTCCTCGGCATATACTCCAGTCAAATAATAAGGGTTTCACCTCTACGCCAGTCAAATCGTACATAAAAAATGGATAAAATCGCAAAGCGTGATGTAGTTATGATTTTTTGATAGTTTGTTAGTTTGCAGCTTCGAAATACGTTAAAAACGTCAAGATAGTAGGACTTTTTTCAGATGTTGCGTTATAACACTATACGTTTTTCGGCTGGAATGTTACAAATTCATTTTACTTCAAGTAGGGTATTATTTTAACCTCACTTTATGTAGGGTATTATTTTACAGAGATTCACAGATGATATTGCATTACAGCCGAGATTACAGCAGTCTGTATGATGGCTGGGATGGCATGGGATAAAAGGACCCCGCACTTTTAGTACGTAAAATGGTTCTCGGTGAAATTTTCTGAATTTTCAGTATGTTGTAGAATTCGATGAACTGATTGAACCTGCAGAATCGTAAAGTTCTTCGATGAACAGATTCTGAGATACAGGGCGTTGAAGTTACAAATCGGTATTTTTCATTTAATTATTTTCTCGAAATTCAAAGATGCTAAGTACAATTTCCTTCGCTCATATCATTAACGAACCTCCATATTACTCAACATAATTCAGATGATTCAGATGATGTAATTGATTACAGAGTGAAACATATAAACATTTCAGTGATGTCTGAAAATTCGATGTCATAATGAAATATCGGAAAAATAATTTAGGCATGCAATATACTATTCTCATTCCATCATGAATCACAATTCATACATTTCATACAGGGTGATTTGAAAAATTGGTGACACCTAAGACCGATTTATTCATACACATCCTGTATATTCGAGTGAATTGTTAACCTCCCAAGATAGCTGATACCGTATGAACATGATTCCGTTGAGATATATAGGGTGATCATGAAGATTTTCGATGATGAAAATGACAAAAAATCGTGTTTTTTGAAATCACCCTGTTATTCATGATTAACTCGGTGAAATTCCCTAATTATTTTTTAATATATTCATCATTTGCTCCTCAACGCTGTCTTGAAAATTCAGTTTCCTATCATGACGGGTGTCATAGTTATTAATTCAGGAACTTACCATTTGCATGAAGATTTGAAGAGACTTGTTCACTTACATTCGCATAGTGGCCGATATTTTTCACAAATAGTGAAACGTGAGAATGTGGAGACGAAAATGAGTTCAGTATTCATATACAGGGTGAACATTAGAAATTCAATAACAATAGCAGATATATGAATTTAATAATATTAATATAATGTACAGATAGTTAGGCGAATTTCGTTGGTATACAAGCTCTGCCAAAATGAAAAACGAACAATACCTAGGATATGGGAGAATGATTCGGTCTTTCACGCTTCCATTCCTAATAGGGAGAGTTGAATCCTGGAATCGACAGATTTTTTTCACATTTGTTTTCCACTCAGAATCAGGCATATATTATATTCAGTTATCAGCTGCATATATTCAGGATAAGCTTCAGAGGGAAGAAACAAACATACTAGAAGTGGACGAATTTATTGCTGAGCCCAATATTGTGCGGTTACGGATCTTCTCAAGATTCAGGAATGCTATCAAATATATGCTGTGGGTGATATACAACATCGAAGATTTCATAGAGTCACCAATAATTGGATATTATTGTTAATTGGATATTATTGTACTTGCAAGTCAGGGGCCAGAACATTAGGTAGGTACTTGTGCACATGTCGCGAGTGTTTTGGGGTTCCTCGGATATGAAAGACATGCGGAAAATCATCGTTACCCATTTACATTACTTTTGAAAATATCGTTCATGGACCTATTATAGTTGAAAACTAATCGTTTAGGTACTATACCATAGCCCTTCTTGATTACTGGCTCTATAATCGAAGTGCTGACCATTTTAGCATCCCCTTATCGCTGCTATTTCGGAAACATCCAGTATAATTGGATTATTTATATTACACCATCAAATGTAGGTATTGAATTATATCATTGGAATGTGATATGAGTATGAATCTAATGATATTATAATAATTACTGATAGCAAGCAAATATGAAGATGATGGAAACACCTGATTCTGAGTGGGAAACAAATGTGAAAAAATCTGTCGATTCCAGGATTCAACTCTCCCTATTAGAAATGGAAACGTGAAAGACCGAATCATTCTCCCATCTCCTAGGTATTGTTCGGTTTTCATTTTGGCAGAGCTTGTATACCAACGAAATTCGCCTAACTATCTGTACATTATATTAATATTATTAAATTCATATATCTGCTATTGTTATTGAATTTCTAATGTTCACCCTGTATATGGATTTTCGTCTCCACATTCTCACGTTTCACTATTTGTGGAAAATATCGGCCACTATGCGAATGTAAGTGAACAAGTCTCTTCAAATCTTCATGCAAATGGTAAGTTCCTGAATTAATAACTATGACACCCGTCATGATAGGAAACTGAATTTTCAAGACAGCGTTGAGGAGCAAATGATGAATATATTAAAAAATAATTAGGGAATTTCACCGAGTTAATCATGAATAACAGGGTGATTTCAAAAAACACGATTTTTTGTCATTTTCATCATCGAAAATCTTCATGATCACCCTATATATCTCAACGGAATCATGTTCATACGGTATCAGCTATCTTGGGAGGTTAACAATTCACTCGAATATACAGGATGTGTATGAATAAATCGGTCTTAGGTGTCACCAATTTTTCAAATCACCCTGTATGAAATGTATGAATTGTGATTCATGATGGAATGAGAATAGTATATTGCATGCCTAAATTATTTTTTCGATATTTCATCATTACATCGAATTTTCAGACATCACTGAAATGTTTATATGTTTCACTCTGTAAACAATTACATTATCTGAACCATCTGAATTATGTTGAGTAATATGGAGGTTCGTTGATGATATGAGCGAAAAAAATTGTACTTGGCATCTTCGAATTTGGAGAAAATAATTAAATGAAAAATACCGATTTGTAACTTCAACGCCCTGTATCTCAGAATCTGTTCATCAAAGAACTTTACGATTCTGCAGGTTCAATGAGTTCATAGAATTCTACAACATACTGAAAATTCAGAAAATTTCACCGAGAACCATTTTACGTACTAAAAGTGCGGGGTCCTTTGTCGTCTTTAGAAAACTAGATAATCGCAAAAAAACGGCATTGTAACATTTGACCTTCAATAACTTACGCATGAGATTTTATGAGTTATGAGACTCGTGAGACAACTTTAAGAACATCGAAATGAGGGTGTATACGAGTTTCCAGCTTATTATCTCTCATTCCGAGGTTGACCCTTTTTTTTTCATGACTAGTAATAGTGGGAATCGGGTGTTCTCTACTTAAAACTCATACACTCGCTGCTCCGTCACTGTTTCTTGACCGTTCTTCTATCGAAGAGAAGTCAAACACACCTAATGTCTTATTGCCACATTCTTGGCAATCTTGGCGCTACGGCTAAAAGGTTGCATAACAGAAAAACAAAGATCCAGCGAAGTGCCTCCAACAGAAACTCGATATTGAATAGACGATTAGAGATAGACGGCATGGCGTTTTCATTACATACCTTTTTTTGTTAGCTTCCTTTATTTGCTATCGCCTATAGCAATCTATTACGTCAGATAACCTTGAGAAACTAGTATGGGTTTTGCAGTTCGAGACGAAAGTAAAACATCTAAGCAGAAGCGAATCTGGCTCAGGGTGTCTAACGGTCTAGCTATGAAACCACATGAAATATTTGTAAATTGAGAATAATCCTCGGAAAAATCAGAATGAGGGTATACCGCAAAGTCGGGAGGGGATACCGAGGGGTGCACCGCATTTATTTCACCGAAAATTATTTCTATATTCATGTGCTGAAACACCAATATTCTCAATTAGTCTGAAATCTAAACTTATCAATCTTTTAGGGGAGACCTCGGGGGATACCATTGATTTTTTAAAATGGCATCATCGTGAGTTGTATAGCAAAGAACTACTAGTAAATGTAATTTTAATTTATTAGGACGATAAAGAAATAATTTAAAATATGTTCATTTCAATACTGCGCCATTTGAAATGGTGTCATCAATTCATTGATGTGACTGGTGTGACGTATTAGTCCCCACACGCCTATTGTCCTTGAGCTGACCAATCACACTGCAACAATGCAGAATGGCAAGGTATCAGAGGGAGATATTTACAGTTCGGGACATGGGACTAATACGTCATATCTGGCTTTTTGAAAAATCGAATGGAATATGTTGATTTCAAAACGCTATAGATTCGATTCCCTTCAACCACACTTATAATTTCTGAGGAACAAACGGGGTCACTAACCCTATAGGTGAATATTTAATAGTGGCAACTAAAAACCTGTATACTATTTAGAAAAAGTGAAATTGAAATTAACTTTCTTGCTCATTAAACGTCACTGTCTCCCACTTCGAGAATCATCGGAAGTGAAAAATAGAATCCTGTAAATGATGTCAACAATTATGTCCTGTTCTAGGAGAGTTATGTACTTCATTATCTTCTTCAAAAGAATAACAGATCAAGAACTCAATACCCCACAGCTCAGAGCGCAGCACACAAACTGAGAATCTTCACGAATGATATATCAGTTGGTCAGAGACGCACTCGCATGACATGGAAGTTTAATTGTACTAGCGAGAACGCATGTATACTTCACAGATTGAGTTACTATTCTCTTTTCTCATAGTACCTATGATTCTAGTAATGTTCATTTGTGCTTACTCTACCTGCTGAACTTGATTTTTTTCTATGACTATCTGATTACCTACGACCACTATATAAAGTCGACAAGAACACACGAGATACAGCCTCAGTTAGTAGCTCTTTACGCACAGTAAGCACATCGCACAGTTTTCGTTCATTCCGCCAG